CCCCCGCTCACTACAGTATATATATAATAGTCGACATATAAGACATCTTTTGCTACAGGTGCATATGGTCCAGATCCAGGAGGTCGAGTCCAACAGCTCCTCGGAAGACTCCGAGGACAGCAGTGAAGCGGAGCTTCCTGCGGCCTCCGCGGCAGAGGCACCCGCGCCGTCTGCTACGGCAGTCGCGGCAGCGGCGCCGGAAACGGCACCTTCTTCTGGAGTGCCGCACCCAGCCGAGCCGCCAAGCGCAGAAGCCCTCAGGCTGCGTGCCACGCTGCTCTCCAACCGGGCTGCGCGTGCTGCAGAAGAGGCGCGTGCTGCGACGTCGACTCCAAGCGTTGCAAAAAACGCGAACCCTGAGCACCCGAAACGGCGAGTGAAAAGCCGAGACAAGGAGGACCGAAGAAAGACAGACAGGAAAGGGCGCTCTCGGTCCAAGCGCGGGAAAAAGCACGGCAGCCGCGACCGCCGCCGCCGCAGCCACAAGGGGCGCGACCGTCGCAGCCCCAAGGGGCGCGACCGCGGCAGAAGCTCCCCGCGGCGCGACAAGAAAGACCGGGGAAAGCGTGCTGAGTCCGTCAAGGACACGCCCGCACCAGCTCCGTCCAAACCGAAGGATGCAGTGCTTCGCTGCAGGGTTTGCGACCGGCAGATCCGCGGCGGTGCTTCGGGCCTTGACCAACACCAGAGGTCGGGCCCGCACTTAGCCTGGGTGCTCTGGCGTCAAGGTGTGCGGCCCTGGCGCCTCTGTGTGTCCCGCGGAAAGGAACAAGCCGAAAAGCTCTGGCGCAGCGACACAAAAAAACCTCGGCCCGTGGAAGAGAGAAGCCCTTCCCCGAGGGGACCGGCCTTAGGCCCAAAGGACCCAAAAGACCCCCCCGACGGGCCGGGAGGAGACAGGGGCGGAGACAGGGGCAAAGTGCTTACTGCCTTGTTTCAGGTGGCAGCTCAGGAGCTGCGACACTGGTAAAGCAGAGGAGAAGCAGCACTGTCGCAGTTGCTCAGGCAGCTGCCCTTCCTGCTGCTAAATCTCCTCCTGCCAAACCAGTCCATGGTTGCATCTCCTGGGCTGCTGCTGTTGCCTCGCCAGCAGAGTCTTCCTCCGGCCGTGTACTGCAGACAAGGGCCGCTGCAGGAAAAATGTCCAGTGCTTCTTGCCTCCTTACACTCAAACCTGCGAGCCCATAACCCTAAAAAAAACCTCAGGCCGGGATAGTAAACCCTTCTTCCTTATGCCCTAAACCCCCCTATAAGACCCTATAAGCCCTAAACCCGAACGGGGATAGTCCTCTACATCCCTAAGCCCTTCCAAGCTTCCTTAGGCCCTAAACCCTCAACCCTCTACCCGACCCTTAGTACCCTTGCTATCTCTACACTTCTATAGAGGCCTCGACCCTTCTCGCCTTCATACCCCCCAGGTATATTTTTAGGATCGAAATCCTGTGATGTCATAGATCTTGTTACTTTTTGTCTTCAAATTTGTACCTCCCTAAGTCCCTGCCCGCGTCTCCCTTGGAGTAGCCGCGGAGCTGTGCAGTAAAAAAAAAACACGCCCTTCCAATTCTTGTATGTTCTTGTATGGAAAATAACTTCTCCTGAAAAATTCTTGTATAATTCTTGTATAGGACTAGGAAACCTAGGTTTTCTTGGACGCGATGAATTCTTGTATAATTCTTGTATACTCATAACTAAGTAAAGGAAGCCTTCTCAGCCTCCTCTTTGGCCTATACCGCATTCTTGTATTTCTTGTATGGCTCCGCACGTCTAGTTCTTGTATAATTCTTGTATTTTCTTGTATGCAAAAGACGCACGTGCCGAATCCATACATCTGCTGTCTTCGCAGCTCTTGCTCAAAGCGCTCGCTCTGGCTCTGTCTGCGCCCGCCTCTTCTCTGCCCGCCATAGGATGGCGGCGTCACCCTCTGCCCGCCCTAGGATGGCGGCGTCACCTTCCGTGGAGGGACAGCTCGCACAGTGCTCCCTGTGTCTGTTGCAGTGCGAGAAAGTGTCGACCCGCGGCGCCCAGCTTGTCTGCGCGGGGTGCGTGAACGTTTCGTCCATGCTGCAGTACAAGTTGGGCGGCAAGGTCTCTGCCACTTTGGAGGACAAGGTCGCCTTCTTCCGCAGGGCAAAGAGCACAGGGTCTGCCCGCTTGGAGTGGAAGACCGTGCGGGCCCTCGTGAAGGAGCACATGATTATGCGGAAGATCAAGCAAAGTGAAGTCAGTGTGGGAGGGAAGTACCTTCCCATGAACGTGCACTTGGCTGCTGGCTGGAGCGAGAGCCAGGTCACGGCCAAGAACGACTTCATGGAGGACCCCGAGCTCGGCAAGGTCTGGCGTGTTCCCGTCATGGAGAAGACGGTTCGCCAGATCGACGAGGAGATCGAGGAAGAGCTCACTACCAAAGAGCAAGAGGTGACGAAGAGCCGGCAGGGCAAGAAAAGGAAGCCGCAAGAGGGAGAGCAAGAGGAGCCAGACCTGGACCTTCCTTGTGCTAAGGCACAAGGCAAAGCCGGGGACAGCAACAAAGCTGCCAAGAAGGAGGAGCAAGAGGAAACCAAAGCGGCACGCTTGACCTTCAAGAACAACAAAGCGAAAGCTGCGCTGGCAGCCAAGGCTGTAGCCTCCCTCTCCACACTCCTGTCCTCACTGAACTCTGCTAAGGGTTTCGCCGCCAAGGTTTGGGAGGAGCTCCCGCAAGACCTTCGCACAAGCCTCACGGAGGCTTTGGCTACGGCTCTCGCGTGGAAGACAGCCGCCACCTCGGCTCTGCAGTTCCAAGAGAACTACGAGCAGGCTGCCCTGAAGGACCCTGCGGCTCCGGTGCAGCCGCTTCCCGTGCTGCCCTTCACTGCGGAGACGTTTCACGACTACGACAAGGCGGCCAAGGCTGCTGTGAAGGAGCTGCGCCGTGCCGCCCGCGACAAGAAAGACGAGGCTGCCGCTGCTGCTGACGCCAGCGGCAAAGCCAAGGCCAAGCCCAAGCGCCGCGTTGTTGGTAAAGCCAAGGCAGCGGCTTGAGAGAGTAGCTCCGGCGAGAAGCCGTTTCGGTTTTGCTTCAGCCTGCGCCATCTTCCCCAGAGGGTGTGCGCAGTATCCGCATATAGGTGGCTGCTCGACAGCCTCTGTCTATACTAGCACATGCAACGGGGTTGCCGAAAAACTGAGCAGGCCGCTGAGCTTTATAGCCCTGTAGCTTAAATTTTATAAACCCTAAACCCCTAAATCCTTTATAAGCCTTAAATTTTCAAGTATTCGAACATTAATGAACCCCTGCACCTGCCCGGTCTAAGCATGTACCTGTCTCAAGCATGTTTTCACTGTAGCACTCCATGCCAAAGTTTGTCAAGCCTGCACCCTTGTTGCGGTCCAAGTCTTTGCTTGCACGCGACGCTGGAGCTCTTTCCATACCAGGATACTTAGCAGCTTTGGCTCAAGCTCAGTCTCCATGGCTGCCGGAACTTTTGTCTCCAACTCTCCGCCGCCGTCTTCGGGCGAGTCGTGGCCGTGTCGAAGTCCAGGCTGCCCTGTGAGAGTCTACGACGTCAGGCGCAGACACTGCTGCAGTCTGTGCCGCGAGCGCGGCCTGCACACGGAAGACTGTGCGCGACGTGCTGCCACGCTGGAAGCAGCTAGTGCATCTGGCCTGCTTGCTGACCGGGCTGGACGACTGTGCTTAAACTGCCCTCGCCTGGTCTGTTCCCAGCGCCTCTACTGCTGTCGCATCTGCGATCGCAGGCCGGGCAGAGGACACACCCGCGGATGCAACAAGCGAGCTGCTGCCGCCTTTGATCGCGCCCGCGACATGCAAGGGACTGGCTGCACGGAGCTGTCAACTGCTGCAAGCAGTGCAGCTGCTCGCCCTGGGTCTGCCGCCGCAGGACCAACGTCCGGCGGTGGCTTGAAGCCGAGCTCCGCTTCTGATCCGAATGGAGCAGTATCTTTCGAGACTACCCCTAAACACCTGGACCTCTATAGTCTGGACTGAAGAAGGGTGCTGCCGGACGTGCACAAACAAAACATTGCCAAAGACAGTGCGGGTCTGAGTGAGGCATCGCCCATGAACATGTCTCTATTCTTATAACAGCTCTTGGCTTGGACATGCCTTTTGCATATATACTAGAAAAATCTTAATTGTACTATGTTTTATTCGCAGCTTCTGTCTTCAAACCTGCCCAACATATATGTATATATTAATATTTCTATTTAATTTATATAAATATAAATATACATATCTACCTATAATATACACATGTGTATCAACATTTATAAAACGGAAGATTAAAAATTGTTTTTAATATAGGGTCAGGGTATTCGGGTAACCTTTACACTCATATAGCAAACCTAGATACAGACCTTCTTGTATAGCCGCGCATCCCTGCAAACCTTCCTCGTGTAGACATGACAAGCAACGCTGCGTGCCATGGTCAACAACAAGAAACGAAAACTTCTGGATACAGAAGCCGTGACCTCCTGCCTGCATCTGCGCGGTACCAGTGAAAGCGCAGTTTTGGCTTGTCACAATAGGACCGCAAAGAACGAGGAGAAATGGAGCGTTGGTACTTTCTGGCGCCGTGTCAGTCAGTACTACGCCCCTCTTCGGAAGTGCTACAGCCGCTGCAAGCTGCAAGGAAGCCGTGGCTCCGAGCTTGACTTCTGGGTGGCTGACATAAGAACGATGCTGCAGGAAGTCGTGGCTAAAAGCTCAGAATGGTGCTCCTTCCTGCAGGCAGTCCTCGCGACGACTGCAACTCTTCACGTCGTGTTGTATCACGACGAGTGCACTGCAGGCAACATCTTGAATCCCCAGAAGAAGCTCAAGGCAACCATGTGGTACCTGAGTTTTAAAGAGTTCCGCAGTGTTTTCGCCAGGGAAAATGCTTGGCTGCCCGTAGCGATGCTGCAGCATCGCGTCGCCGATGCCGTGCTGGGCGGTGTCTCAGCTGCCACGGTCAAGGTCCTGCAGCATATCCTGCAGGCTGGCAACTGCAGGGACGGCTTCGACCTGAACATGGGTGCCCATGATGCCCAGTATCGGGTTCACTTGGCTCCTACAAGCTTCTTCCTTGCAGATCACGACGCCCAACGTGCAACATACTGCAATAAAGGCAGCAGCGGCTACAAGCCCTGCCTCTGGTGTGCAAATGTGCTGAAGCGCGATGCGCCAGAGGCCTCAACTGCCTCTGGAAGTTTTGTTGACATCTGCGAAAGCAGATTTTCCAGCTTCCAGATCGCGTCTGACGCTGAGATCTTCGCCGCGGCGGATCACTTGGCTACAATTGCCAAAGCAGGGGAGCGCGCCACAATGGAGAAAGCATACGGTGTGAACTTTGTGCCAGGCTCACTGCTTCAAGATGCGGAGGCTCGCCAGCTGATGCCTCCCTCTGGCGCGTGCAATGACGTTCTGCATGCCTACTTTTGTAACGGGGTCGCGTCGTGGGAGGTGGGACTCGCTATGCGCGAGCTCCAAAGCATCAGCGATCTGGATGCCTTGTGGCATCTGGTGCAGGAGGAAGCTTGGCAAACAACCTTGCCTCAGGGAGACCTAAAGTCTTGCTTCCGGGCAACCCTCTATGACTCAAATGATGGTTTCAAAGGCAGCGGCAGCCTCTGCTGGCACTTTGTCTTCTTGCTCTACTATCTTGTGCACCAGCTCCTGCACAAGGCAGACTTGAAGCCCGCAGTCTGCAGGAGTCTTTTCCTTTTGAAAAGCATCTGTGCGGAGCTGCGGCGCCTCAGATGGCTCAAACGACCCCTGGCTGCAGCTGATGTGCAGACGCTACATCGTCTACAGCAGCAGCATCAAGAAGCCTGGCCACAGGCGTGGGGTCGCCAGGGCATGCGACCTAAGCATCATCACAGATTGCATCTGCCTGCGGGCTGTGTTGCTCTTTCATTTCTCCCCAACTGCGAAACCCATGAAGCCAAGCACAGGACCTTCAAATCCTACGTCGGTCTGCACCAGAAAAAGCTGGTCAATGACAGTTCAAGGTTCCAGATCGCAGTGCTGCCTCGCTTGCTCAATGTCACGCTGCGCGAGTCTCAGGAATATGGCTTACTCTTGGCACCGGAGTTGCAGAAGCCATTGCGAGCAGCATCCTCCGAACTGCGAGCCTTTGCCGGCGACCCCGAGCTCCAATCCGGCAAAGCACTGCGCTTGGGCACACTGCTGATCCGGCCCCAAGACGTCATTATGTGGGATGCTAAAGCTGCTCAAGTGCTGGAATGCTTCCGAGGAAGATCCGGCTTCTGTGTGCTCACACTGCGGCTGCAGCTTCTACAGAAAAAAGCTTGGGGGTCCGTCTGGCAAATTACTGACAGACGGACCTTGCTGCCCCTCAGTCCTTCTGCAGACATCGATGTGCCGACATTCACGAAGCGTGTAGGCATGACGATCTCCTGTCTGCACTGAGAAGAAAAAAGGCCACTTGAGCTAAACTGCTGCGAACTTACACTCAACTTACAAGTTAGCTCTAAGTTCTCATTAACTTAGTTATAAATCACTTGCATAAGTTCAAGATAAGTTAACTTACAAGTCCCTTGAGTTCCTTAAGTTACTTATAAGCAAAGCGGTGTATCAGGTTGGGTTTAGGGTTCAGGGTTTCAGCTATCTTAGGGGGTCACAGGCTCCTGTGAATTCCGTCGGGTTTGGTACTTCCGGCGCTGTTCCACATGCACCCTGCTTCGCGCTTCGGCTCGGGGTTTGAAGATTGACAGATGGGTTTAGGGTTTAGGGTTTAGATTGCCTACCCAGATCTCCCAACATCTCTGAATTAAGGGATATCGCTTCATCAAAGTAGGATCCCTGATCTGATGCAGGGCACATTCCTGAGTTAAGGGATTTCGGAAGACCTGGGTAGCGTTCCTGTGCTGATTGGGGCTCTCTACAGGTACGACGACTCGTTCTTGCATATCTCCGTGCCATGCCCGGGCTCTTCTGCCATACGCCCTAAAGCGCTAAACCCCAAGCCCTACTCCCTACATCCTGAAGCCCCATTCCCCGCTCCCTAAACCCTGATTTTAAAGCCTACCCCCTAAACCCTAATTACTCCCGAAACCCTCAGGGAAACTAAGTCAGATAGAACCCTCATCGGACCTCACCCTCAACAAAAAAATGCTTCGACCTCTGATTTCGCAAAAAAAAAAAAAACTCTGCACCCGCAGCCAGCAAGCTGAGTCCTAAGTCAGATCCCCGAACTTCTAAACATGAACCACATATCCTACGTATTCTACCTGTCGTTCCTTCTGCCAGACAAGCAAAAACAAGTACATTGCAGACCTTGAATCTAACTACCCTAAACCCCAAACCCTAAACCCTCGTGAGTGCCTGTTTGTTGCCAGCCGTGCCAAGCCAGGATCGCGCCGCCTTTTGAATAAGGTGCCAGAATCCCTTAATTAACGGGTTTAGGGTTTAGGAATATACTTCAAACTATAATAAAGGACCCTGGTTGAATTCAAAATGAATTCCTTAATTCAACGGTGTTGGAAAAGCCGGGAATGCCAAGGATTATGTAGCCCCTATACTGTAAGGGCCTTATTAATATAGGGTTCCTTTAGACAGCCTTCAACTTCCCTTTGAAGGGACTATAAAGTTTATATGAGATGAGGGCCCTTGTAATTGGAACAGGGTTCCTTTAAGGATGCCTAGACAAGCATTCCGCATCAGGCTTGCGATTGAACGAAACAAGGGAATGAACAAATTTAATTGAATTAATTCACGCTTTCATTGTAATTAATCCAATTAAGATTTAGTTCATTCCAGCTACCTTGACTTTATTGCCTAGACTTGAGAACCGCTAGAGAGACTTGAGAAACTAACCAACTGAAGAAACCGCCATGACAGACCCTTCATCCACCAGTCTCGCCTTACAACCACCTACCAACAACCGTCCCGTTCCCTTCTCCTTTGTTCCTTGCTTACTTATTTCTACTGCAATGCAATGAAAGACAGTAAACAAGGGGAACAAAGTAGGGGGGGAAAGGTGTAGGACCCTTGATAATTCATACCGTTTTGGGGGAGGTTGGGGTTTAAGGTTTTTTTTGTTGGAGGGGGGGTTAGGGTTTAGGCGTAGGGCTTAGGGGCTTAGGGTATCAGGGTTTAGGGTGTTGGTGTTGGGGTCCATGCTTAAGGTTGCCACGGAGGGCGCTGGGCGTAGGGCTGTAAAAATGTTTGGGGGCTTAGGGTTTAGAGCTTCGGGCTCAGCATTTCGGAGGGATGGGTTGGGAAAATTGGCCTGAGATTTGAAAAAAATGCCACGCCTTGACAAAAACAAAAACTGAAAACCACAGTGTCAACCTACCAAAACATTCTAACTGTCAACCAAACCCGCAATCTCCGAAACTCAACCAGTGGGCTTTCCCTGTGCCTGTGGCAAGTGAACCTTATACCTTACGAACCCCAAACCCACTTTTTTGTAGGTTCTTACTACAAACCCTAACATGGGATTTTTGGGGACCCTACAAAAAAGTAGGCTTTGGGTTCTTAAGGTAGAACCCTAAACCCGAAACCCCGAAGCCCTATGAGCAGGCAAGTCCTACAGGCTTCTGGGAAGGACACGTCTCTACAGGTTTCGAAGGATTGAAGACTCCCAAATTAGGGGTTTTGCGGTTTATGTTCCAGGATTTAATCACATAAACATAAACCGCAAACCCCCTTTTTGCTTCGCACTCACGCGCCATCGCGCAGCCGCTCCATGGCCTCGCAACGCCACTAACGGCCAAGCTCCCTCGCAGCAGGAGGCAGCTCGCTATGCGCGCTTCCTTGGACCACTCGAACCCGAGCTTTTGGTTGGCTCCTCGCCTTCGCCTTTGCGCGAGGCGCCGCAGCCGTGGGGGGGCTCGTGCGGGGCTCTTCCTCTGCATCCTCCCGTCTGATCAGCTCCGCGACCATATATTCCTCGCGCCACGCGCGGAACGCGGTCTTGAGGAGAAGCAAGCGCTCTTCTGCAATGGTCTGAAAGAAGCGTTCTTTCTTTGATGGGCCATCCTGGGGTGGGGCTTCTCCCTTGTCATGCGGTCCGACTCAGCTCGCTGCCTTGAGGGTTGAGAGTTCTAGGGTATAGGTGTGTTGCCCTGATAGTCATAGGAGCCCTTGCAAAGTCTTGGAACCCATACATGCACATGCAAGGAACCCGTATGAACACCATAAAGGCACCCTTCAACCCTAAACCCTAAACCCTAAACGCTAAGCCGAAACCTCAATCCCTTAATCCCTGAACCTGTGAGGGAGGATCCTACCTGCACGGGCACGTGGCACAGCATGAGTACGAACTCGCCGGCTGCCAATCCCGGTGGATACCGATACCTGGGATAATCAAAACCGTTAACCCTAAACCCTAAACCCCAAACCTTTAAACCCCTTGACCCTGAACCCTAAAGATTCTTGGCTCAGTGTATAGGAAGTTTCGGATTTCGGGTTGTCTTAGCGCTGCGGAATTAAGAGGATAACGCAATAAGTCCCTCACCACAACTGTGCCTGTGCTTACATCTGTATAGTGTGTATATGAGAGATATACATATATATATATATGTATGTATACGATACACACACACGCATTTTATATAAACTCATCTGCCCTACTTACCTATTGGGCATACTCTTTACGAGCACCCACGAGAGCCCAGTATCCATGTATCGAGAAATCTACCTAGATATAGATATAGATCGACACATACATAGATACATCCATGCATACATACATACATTACATTA